TAAATATATTTTTAAAATGTTCACCATCACTGGTCATGTGAAAGATGCAAATTAAAACAACACTGAGACTCTGTCTCACCCCAGAAATAATTATTATTATCAAGAAATCATCCAATAACAAATGCCAGCAAGTCTGTAGAGAACAAGGAACCCTGTTCTACTGTTGGTGGGAGTGTAGACTGGTGCAACCATTGTGGAAATCAGTGTGGAGATTCCTCAAAAAACTAGGAATGGAAGTCTGATTTGACTCAGCTGTTCCCCTTCTGGGCATCTTCCAGAAGAATTAAAAACATCTTACCATAGTGATATATGTGCATCCATGTTCATAGCGAAACAATTTGTAATAGCTGGATCTTGGAAACAACCCAAATGCCCATCAACCAAGGAATGGATAAAAGAGATGTGGTCTTCTTATACAATGGAATACTACTCAGCTATAAAGCAGGATAAACTGGAGACTTCTATAGGTAAATGGTCACAGCTAGAGACCATACTCAAGTGAAATAACCAGATGCACATGTGCGAACATCATATTGTCTCCCTAGTGTGAAATGGGAAAGAGTAAATAAGATCCAAAATGTACAATAGATATTGTAAAATAGGAAGAAACTTCAAAGAGAAAGATAAATGGATGGGGGAAAGGTGAAAAGAAGGAAGGGAAAAGAAAAAAGAAAATATATGTATATAAGATAATTAAGATAGCTACATGTCTTAGTTATTTTTCTCTCATTTCTGAGACAAAGGACTTGACACCCAAAATTAAAGTAGGAAAGGTTTATTTTGCTCACAGTTTGTGGAAGTTTCAATCCATACTCAGCTGGCTCTAAAGTAAAGTGGCACATGGCACAGGGCAACAGTTCATGGCAGCAGAAAACAGCAAAAGCAGCAAGAGCAAAAAGGGAGCAGCTGCTGCTAACAAGCCTCTTTCCCTTATATTGTATGCAAACTACCTGCCCCAGGGTGGATGTAGTACTCACACCCATAAACCCAGCATTGGACTATGGATCAAATCATAAACTCCAGAAGCCTGCCCCATGACTGCATGAGGCTTTCAGGGGACATCCAGACACAAACCAAAACACTATGCTACTAATTTCTCTTAGTTCATTGAAAAGAAATATTAGTGTTAATATTGTTTGGGTAGTGAAATGTGTATATCTTGTACTCTGAGTAACTAATTTAGAGATAACAATATGCAATGTATTAACCATTACACAATATATTAACCATTACCCTCCTATTATCTTGTTTTGAAATTTTATTTTTTCCTCTTTAAAATAAAAATATAGAAAAAATTATACCCTGATGTTGCTAAGATGTATGGTAAAAGTGGAACTTCTCTGAAATTGTAAAGAAGGAAACAAGAAATTTGTACTAATTTTGCTCTTGTATCTCAAGCTGCAACGCTTGCAGCCACAAGGTGTTAAAATCGCTTAGTTAAGATGGATAAGGCTTCAACTCTGGGTGGAAAGTGTGTAGCAGCTGCTAATAGCATGTTGCCCCAGGAAGCCTTTAGCCCATATAGGGACTTCAGTAAGGTATTCCTGAAATGATGGCACCAAACCATTTACTCCAGGTGGGGGCTTGGGGGTGAGAGGGAGAGAAAGAAGCCACACTCATATAACTTTTATATAAAACCATATAATGTGTTTTGGCCATATTTTTATTGTTATGTTTTGGTGACACAGATTACTAGATTTCCATCTGGCAGATTTGCACACGGGCATAATGTATTTTAATTACCTCCCTGACTACCCATGTTGGGTGGGGCTTCCACGTGAATAATGTGTTTTAATCATATCCATGCCCCCTATTACTAGCCCGTGTCCTCCTCCACCTTCTTTTGTTTCTCTTGTCTAGTAATATCTACCTTCTACGTTCTTGTCATCTTTTTAAGATTCCATTTGTTAGGGAGAAAGTGTGATGTTTGTGTCAGGCACATTCACTCAATGTGATGATCGCCAGATTCATCCATATTTCTGCAAATGATAAAATTTCAATCTTTTTTATGTAGAATAATATTTCATTGTGGATGTATACCACATTTTTCTTATCCATTCGTCTATGAATGGGCACCTAGGCTGGTTCCATAGCTTGGCTCTAGTATATTATGCCACAGTACAGTCTGCAGGTATCTCTGTGGTACGTTAATTCTTTCAGGTATATACCAAGGAATGGTATAGCTGATCAAATTATAGTTCTAGTTTTTTGAGGAACTTTCATCCTGTTTCCATGGTGGCTGTACTAATGTACATTCCCACCAACAGTGTAGGGTCTATTGAAGGGTTCCTCCCCCAACCCTACCCTACCCTACCCACCCCTGCATCCTGGCCAGCATTTACTGTTTTTTGTGTTCTTGATGATAGTTATTCTGACTGGAGTGAGATGGAATCTTGATGTAGTTTTGATTTGCCTTTCCCTAATGGCTAATGATGTTAGACACTAAATACACTTACTGGCTATTTGTACTTCTTTCTAGAAGTGTCTGTTCAGTTCTTTTGCCAATTTATTGATTGGGCTACTTTATTTTTTGGTGTTGTTTGTAAATACTGTATATTGTAGGTATTAATCTTCTGTTGGAAGAGTAGCTGGCAAGGATTTTTCTCTCCTTCTGAGGCTTCTGTTCACTCTGTTGACTCCCTTGTTATGCAGAAACTAATTTGATGCAGTCCCATTTGTTGATTCTTGCTATTATTTTCTGTGCTATTCAAAAAGGCTTTGCTTGTGCCCATGGCTTTGATTGTTTTCCCTGTGTAAACAGTACATGATTATAATTGTTCTATTTTGTTAGTTATTATTATTCTCTTAATGAGCCTAATTTATAAATTAAACTTTATCATGTGCATATATGGAAATATGTATGCAGCTATGTGTCTATAGAAAAACAGCATATATGGGATTGGTTACTAGCTATGGTTTTAGATGTTCACTGGGGGTCTCGGGACTGTTCTCAACGGATGAGGGCTGATATTTTGGTAGTGTTGTGCTGGGACTGGAAATTTTCTTGCTCACTTGTACTTTCCTGTGTTGCCAGTAGGTGGTGACTTATTGCCATCAGTACTAATGTTTGTAATTGTTAGAATTTTTAGAAGTGTATTTCATTTGAAACTCATACTTCTTCCAGGATCCTAAGTACTGGGAATTGCGTGGGCCTTTGGCTTTTGAAGGTAAATGTGGAACCTAAAGCTTATGACATGTTTAGAGAGAGGCACGCGTGGAGCTGTAGAAGTTTCAACTGTTCTCCTAGGTCTTTACCCTTAAAGCCAACTGCACAACCACCTGAGAATCTTTCTTGTTCTCTGGGACTGCTGGCATCCATTTGTTTTATTAATCAACCAGGGATAATGAGGCACTAGTATTTAATTTCCTCTTACACCCACTCCCCTCCCCTGAAAATTTCCTGATGTTTTGTCTGAATTTTCTAGCCCATGCTGGGTAGTGTGAAGCTCTTTGATATTTTAGTATAGTTGAGATGACTGTCTTCTGGGCTGTAAGTCAGTTGGTGGCCTCTGGTGAGCAGTTGTCTTCCTCTGCTCTGCAGTTTCCAGGGCTCTGCTCTGAGGAATGCTGGGGCCTTTTGACTTTGAATTCCCACCCCAGGAGGCCTCACTGCTCAGTCCATCTCAGAAAGCCACTGTCTACAGAAAAGCTCCTTGGGGGCTAGAGGTGGGGGCTGCATTTTGGCCAGAGATGAAAAGTCAGGGATTCTTGATCACCGCTCTCCTCAAGCAGTGTTTCTTGGAAACAGCTGAGATGAGCATCTATCTAAAATAAAATCTTAGGACTTGTAGGCAAGTAGTGTGAAGTCAGGAACTACATGGTGCAAGTCTGGGACCTGCACTGATTTAAGGAGCCTAAGCATTTAAGCATTTCAGAGCAGCCCCTGCCTTCCACCCCCAACTCCAGCCCCATCCCCCATAAGCTCCTGGGCATAAAAGAATTTCTTTTGTGAGTTTAAGCTACTTTTCTTCCCCAAACCTCTAGTTGGGAAGTTCTGACAGCCTCCCACAAGATAAAGAACATTCTTCTCTCTATAAGACTGTCAGCACATGCCCAGTGGCAAGCACTGCATCATCAGATATATTCTTGAAGGCAGTATTTCATTGATAAAAATGCAAGCAGTGGGCAGGACACAGGTAGCTTCTCATGGGTGGGAAGAATGTAGTCTAGGAGGCAGGAGACAGTGAAACAGCAGTACTTAAGTGACAAATGTGTGGACTGGTCTGGGAGTTCATTCTCCCACTGAGCAGAAAGGCAGAGCAGAATGGGTGAGGGGCAGATAATCAGCTTCTAATCTGAAGCAAGAACTGAGAAGTTACTGTGTTAGCAAGGTCATGGTTAGGTCAGCTTTTCCTTTATGCTGCAGAGTTACCACCCAGAGTCCCACGACCTACCTGCTCACTCTCTAGCTACCACGTGGTTAATCTCCTGAAGGCATGCTCAGCTTGTCCCTTCCCTGGTGCTGCAGAATTAGGTCCAAACTCAGTTTGGCAGTCAGAGGCCCCATAATCTAAATTCCAAGCCTCAGTCCTCCATGAAATTCACTCCAAGCTACTACTCACCCCTCCCCACCCTCCACTGTCTCTTTGGCTCCAGCATTCTGTATGTCCATTAGCAAACTCTTTGTGTTGGGACTGCCCTTCCCACAGCCGTCCACCCATCCACATCTCACCCAGTTTGTGAAAGCCTTCTGTAAGTCTGTGCTTCTCATAGGACTCCTTTACTCCACAGCAAGTGAATTGCATTAAGTTTCTGCCATGTCATGGCCCATGTCCGTCCTACCTCACTTTTTCCTGCCAATGCCTTGTGCTCGCCTCACAGCAAGCTTCCCCTTCTCCCCTGCCCTGACTGTCCACAGTACTAGCACATATCCTTGTGGGCAGCAGGCAGTCCACACACATTGAAAGGAAATACTTCAAATGTTCAAAAAATGTAAACATGAATAGCAAGAGAAAGTCAGTTATAGGTCCTGTGTCTGTAACAAAAAAGTTCCACTCTGATTTGAGAACAATGTGAAAAATATATCTGAATTTATTATTTAAGTATAGTATAATACAAAGTTGTGGCAATAGAAAGTAAAAACTAAAATGGATCAATATAAATATGCTAGAGTCTAGCTCATCAGTTATTAAGATGATATAATTCTCCCATTTTATAAAGAAAGAGTTCTACTGTACACATAAGGAATACCTCTCTAGAGTGTGGAGTGAGTGGGAAGTGGAAGGAAAATACTCGGTTGAGGGTGGCTTTGGAGAACGTGAACTGGCCAGCCAGCCCATCCCTCATTCAGACTTCCCTGGCTCTCCTATAACTATAAGTACACATGCTAGTTCTAAGGCAGTCCTCCTGTCCGGGGGGACCAGGTCATTTCTTACTACTGAGGTCTGCTTTCCTCTGAGGTCCCAGCTCCAGTGCTCATGACCCGTGATGAGGCCAGGTTTTCCTGCCTGCTGGATTGCAGAAGAGGGTAGCATTTATTGACCTATCTTCTCACCTAACACAATACATTTTCAAGTCAGACCTCAGTCCCTAAAACCTTCTAAAAAAAGTTACACTTGTTCTCTCCTGTTGATTCTCCTCCCTGCCACAGTTGGTGGTTTGTTGAGAAACTGGCATAAAGAAGCACTTGGTGTTTGCAGCGTCTGTGCAACAGGAAGAAGGCAGGATCTCCTTTGAGTTCAGGAGCTGGATGTTCTTGGTCATGGTTGCATATTGTCTTGAATCCATGAGAGGTAATTAGTGACCTTGGTGTACACACCTGGAACATCCTTCTGCCCACAGCCAATGCCCCAGCTGATAATGCCAATCAGAGTCATGCGCTGATCTTTCATGCACACCAAGGGGCCTCCTGAGTCACCCTGCAAAAGACACGACAGGGTAAGTGTTCACAAACAGTGGAGTAGGAGAACATTAGGGTTGCTGTTTGCAGTGGTAAGTTGTATTCTTCAGAATACTTAGTTCAGAAGGCAAAGGTTTTATCTCTGCCATCTTGATCCTCTAGGGTGATGATGGTGAACCTTTCAGAGACCGAGTGCCAAACTTCAAGCCAAAACTCACTTATTATCACAAAGTGCTAATACTGCAATTAAACCTGAACACTAAGGTTTTAGTTTAGAAAAAACAACTCACACATTAACATATTTTGTCTTAAAAGGAAAACACAGTAACACACATGCCATAGCTTCACCATCCCTGCCCTGAAAATCTGATAGTGTCTCCTGAGATAATGGCTCAGTGCTGGGTTGTCTAGTATATGCTACTGTATGCAAGGTCTTGGGGTCTAGCCTGAGCACTGATAGGATAACTGACTACCGCTTGCCAACTGTTGTGTGTCTAGGTGTGGCATGGCAGAGGAGCATTGCAGAGGAGAAACAATCCATGGAAGGCAAAAGGCAGCAAATGATAACAGTATGTAATGTAGCAACCACTGTAAATTTCTATCATTTTGTTTTGAGGTCATGTATCATTTTTGTTGTTTTTGTGTTGTTTTGATTTTGTCTTCGTTGTTGTTTTGTCAGTTTTTTAATTTTTAAAAGAAAAAAGAAACAAAAAGGCAGGAAGTGACAAAGTATAAGAGACCAAACACCCTCTTTCTGTGCTTTGTATCTGAACAGGAAGGAGCACAGAGGGACATTCATGCTCACCTGGCAAGCATCGTGCAGGTTCACTTGGTTTCCTCCACTCCGAGTGTCTCCGGCACACAGCATGTTTTCTGTAACGGTTTTGTTAGACAGATGTCGTGATGTGCAGCGGCTGGGTGGGTACAGTCTGACATGAGCCTCCTTCAATCGCTCAGAATAGAAAGGAGAAGCTAGAAGAGAGGGGGGCGTGTCTTACAGTTGTAGGAAAGTTACTTGGAAGGAAAACCAAAAATTCTAGTAACAGCTAAGTTTATCAAGCATATGCAACGTTACTGGGTTCAGTGCAGAGTTTCACAATAGCAGCAGGAGCAACACTGGGCCCAGAGGGCTTCTCGTGGCTGGGACTGTCCTGTGCACTGTGCTTAGCAGCCTCCTTGGCTGCACTCATGAATGCCAGTGTCAGCCTTCTGTCAAAGAGGTCACAGCCCCAAGTGTCCAGACATGCTGAATGTTCCCTGGGAGGCAGGATCACCAGTTTCAGAGCATATTATCTCATTTAATCCTATCATCTAGTAAGGAGCTAGCTTGGTGTCCCCCTTAGCACTATGGAAGCAGGCTTGGGGCTGTTTAGAATACAGAATTAGCCGGGCATGGTGGTGCATGCCTGTAATCTCAGCACTTGGGAGGCTCAGGCTGGAGTATCGTTGCGAGTTCCAGGCCCGCCTAGGCTACAAAGTGAGCTTAAGGCCAGGCTGAACTGTATAGCGAGACCCTGTCTCAAAAAGACAAAATAAAATAAAATAAAATAGAATACAGAATTAATGGCCCAGCTGGGTGTGGGGTTCATGCCTGTAATCCTAGGTACTCAGCTGCGACAGGTTCAGAGCACCAGTTCAAGGCCAGCCTGGGCAACATAGCGAGACCCTATCTCAAACAAAAACAAGAAGACTGTTCTAGTACTGTATTTTAGATCTTGAGGATCCCCTAAAGCTTGGTGTGGAAGGCGTGCTCCCAGCCTGAGGTGATACTGGGAAGTGATGGAGCCTTGAGGAGGTAGGGACTGGTGGTCACTGGGGATCCTGGGATCCTTCCAGATACACACACACATACTTTGACACCCGAGCCTTCGCACTGAGTTACATCACCAGCTCTGTGTGTTTTTTCTGTGAGAAGACAGGATCTGGCTAAGTTGCCAAGTTGTCCACACTAGGCTTGAACTTCCAGGTCCTGGGGGTATGCTACCATGTCTGGCTTCTCCTACTTTTCTGGCCAACACAAGGTGAGCAGTCTCTTGTGCTACAAGATGACCCACTTTGCCACAGGCCCACAGACCTAAAACCCCAAAACGCTGAGCCCTTAAAACTGCCCTTTTTTTAAGTTGATTTATCTTGGGTATTGTTACTTTAACAAAATTAATGAACACCTCCAAGGGCCCACAGGTAATCAAGATACAGCTACAGGAGTTGAACTTAGACCTGCATGGCTCCAGCATCCAAAACTCACACCCATCACCACTATACGGAACCTTCTCGGAGTTCAAGCTCTTCCCAACACTTGCACATTCAGGCTTTCGCCTTCGCCTTTTCCTCACAAGCAAGGAGGCAGGGACCTCACTCGCATTTACTCAGTACAGTGCCTGCTCCTGCGACCAGCCTTTCTCCCATTTGCTCAACCACCACATGCCCGGCGCCCTGCAGACAGCCAGGACCGCCGGGACCCTTCCACTCACACGCCTCGTGCCTGCCGTAGCCGGACAGCTCGCACTCGGTCCAGTCGGGCAGCTGCAGGTCAGCGTCCGGGAGGCAGACTGTGCGGACGGCGCTGCTCTCCTGGGCACAGTGCCGGGAGTCCGCCCTCAGGCGCAGCAAGGCTGGGGGAGAGAGGGGTGGGGGAGCGCGAGGGTGAGCGGGGAGGTGCCCCTCCGGCTGGCCCCGGGGCGGCGCGCAGGGTGGAGGAGGAGAGATGCGCGCGTGAACAGTTGTGCAAGTGGGCATGCGTGGGGTTCTGTGTGCTCTGGAGTGCGAATGGGCAGGAAATCGTGAGGTCTTACCAATGTCATTGTCGTAGGTGTCCTCATCAAAGTCCTTGTGGAGGATATATTTTTCAACTTCAAATTTCTGCTCCTCTTCTCCAGGGACCTCCCGGTATGTCCTGCCCAAGACCACCCGAAGGTGATGAGAAGACCTAAGAGAGAAACGGCCTTAGAACGCTGTTTCTGCTGTGAGACCCCTGCCCCAAGGCCTCCGGGCCAGCGCCTCCCCTGCCCCTACCTCTCCAGGAAGCAGTGGGCAGCAGACAGGACCCAGCAGGCACTGATGAGCGCACCCCCGCACAGGAAGTGGTCTTCCTGCGACCTCCTGCTCTTGACGAAGATGGCGGCCTGCCAGGGGTGCGAGGCGATGTCCGCGTAGAGCCCTCCCTTGATGCGGAACTGCGGCCGCTGGTACTGGCGCAGGCCGCAGGTGGCTGGGGGTGGGGATGCGGACAGAGAGGGAGCTCAGACCAGGCCTGCTGGGCCAACTCTCCTCCCTGGGCCATGACTCTTCCACAGGCAGTCCAGAGGGATAGATCAGTTTCCACGCCATAAGAAACATGACTTTCACTTATGCAGTGGACACCACGCTGGGTAATGTGTGTGCACTGCCTTTATCCCTCCCAACCTGACTGTCAGGGAGGCGGAGAAGTTTTTGCCCAAGATCACAGTGGCATCTGGAAGAGAACCCAGGTGGTCCCTTTGACTCCCACCATGGGTCTCTCTCTGCTATGCTTCATTTTCTTTTTTTTTCTTTCAGGCATCTCCTCACCAAAAATAATGAAGTATTGTGAACTCCCAGGTGAGGAACATGTGCATATTTCTTTTACATCTACCCAACCTTCCCATCCCCTTTTCAGAAAGTTCACTTCTGCAAAGGAAGAGGGTGCCTCCCTAGGGAAGCCCCAGGCAGAGCTCCGGAGGCCTCATCACTGGTGACCTCAGCTGGGAGTTAACCAAGAGTTCATGTGTTCCTCACCCAGCCAGACCCTGCATTCCTTCAGAACATCCTGGCTCATCTCTGTGTTCACAGGAACTGAGTTATTTATTCTGGGGCAATTTCCAAACTAAAGTTTCTTTTGAGAATTTGCTGACTTGAAATTTCTGTCTCCCATCCCTTACTGTAACTCAGCTCCCCTGTGATAAATGGATTTTGCAAGAAATATGGAAGAGTTCACAGTGGAAGTGCAATCCTTAGAGATGGGACAGGCTACAGCTTTGCCTCTAGGAGCCCAGGGAGCCTGTGCAGGCCATGCATGACTTCTGAGAGCGCATTACCTAATTTCACTGGGGATCGAGCAAATATGAAAATCACCATCTTCTCTAAGCAGCCACATAAGCAAGATCTCCTCCCTCTCCTTATCCGTCAGTGCAGTCCTCTCCAGAGAGCCATCCAGACAGGAAGTTTTGAGGGAATCAGTGGGCTCTTTTTCTTTTGGCACCTCCCTATCACCCCTGAACCCTTGCCCAGAGCATCTCTGCCCACTATTGCGTGAGTCACTGAAGCCTCTCCCCACCCGGAGTGGTCCCTGAAGCCTGACATTTGCATAGTCTGAACAGAACAGTGTGGGGTCACAGAGGGCAGCTCAGGGAACAGTGGTGAAGTGAGACTAGGCACAGGGAGGTACCCAAGGGCCACTCTTACAGCACTGGGGCAGATCACAGTATTCCCAGGTTGGCTTGCGGTCCTTCAGCACATGGCACCAGGGCTTAGCATCCCCATCTGGGTTCCTAGGTGAGAAGGGACTTTTAAGGTTTCCAGGCACATTTTCACTCACATCACAGGCCACAGGAGGGTGGGACAAGGCTCAGTCAACCAATGGCACACATCTGGCTGGGGAAGAGGACCCCAAGTGGAACTCCAGCAGTCCCCAAGCACAGGGGAATAAACTTCCCTTTGATCTTGCTTTTCTATCAGAAACATGCTTTCATCTCATAGGGGTATTGGGAGGAACTAGGAGCTGCTCTATGAAGAAACCTTTACAGCACACTGCAGTAAGAGTGTCATGGGGCACAGAAAGGGACTGATGGTCTTGGGCAGGACCTGTGACCTGGGTCAGCACAAGAACACTGGGGATCTTTTCAAAACTAAATCTTATTCTAGAAAATGAATAGGTTGGCCTGGAGCAGTGGTGATGACCTAGGACTCGCATGCTGCAGCCAGCTATTCATCATTGAAAGCTCTAAAAGGTAGAGCCTACATAATGTCCTCAGTTCCTCCCCACGCCCACTGGACCTTTCACATACTTTCAGCATTAAATCCTCTCCCATCTCACTCCCCAAATCTCTCTGCCAAGGCCTGAACCCCTCTGATGCCAGGCTACGCACCGGCAGTAATTATGTTTGCCCAATCCCAGAGCCTGGGAGTTGAACCTCCATGCGGTGTAACCCCTTCCCCTCAGGATCACGGAGTCCCACGGGAGGCAGGAGGCACCGGACGTGGTAAGGCTCTGGGTGCCACGGTATGCTGACCCATTCCCAAAGTAGCAGTCTTCATTCTTTCCTGGAACAAAAGAAATCTCAAGCTGAAATAAGACCAGTCAAATGGTGAAGTAGGCAAGTTGGGGTTTGAGGCGGAGGTCCTGGCCTAGGAATATAAGGTGGTCACTCCTCCATGGAGAAGGGTGTGGCCTCTCCAGTTTCCCTTTTCTCTTCAAGCACTTTTATCTAGAGATGACAAGTGAGTTTTGCTACAGTTTGATCTTAAGTGTCTCCCAAAGGCCCGTGTAATTAAGGCTTGATCCCAGTTCTGTGCTGTTGGAGGTAGTAGAACCTTTACGAGGTGGGGCCTATTGGGAGGTGTTTAGGTCACTGAAGGCATGTCCTTGAAGGTGATTGTGTCTCCCTTTCTTCCCCTTTCTGGCTATGAAGTGAACAGTTTTGCCTTAGCACTTGTTCCTGCCATGATGTGCTACCGCAAGAACAAAGCAAAGGACTCACTAAACCTCTAAAACTGTGAGCCACACTCATCTTTTCCGTTTTAAAAGATGATTCTTTCAGAAAGTACTATAGTGACACAAAGCTGACACAGACTTCATGTCAGGTACCAGCTTCCATCAAGAGACTTGGCTTCCTGGGTACTGTGCGCAAGAGGTCCTGAGGGGCTGGCTATTGAGGTCACCGCTGTGGTGCTTGCTTTTGAGCCTCTTTGAATGTGAGTAGGAGTTTCCTGTTTGTGCTGGATGGTTGCATGGCCTTCAGTAGTTGCAGGTCCAGTTTTCCCAGATTTTGTCTGCCAGTGCTATGAAAGACTCATGGGTTTGGGAGACGGAAGATGAGCCCTAGAGTGCCACCTACTGTTATCTACTTGCCCTGTCCTTGCCTCTTTTCTCCCACTTGAAACTGACAGGCTACACCTCTCCACACAAATGCCTTAAGTAGAAAGGCTCTCAAACTGTACCTCCAAATCTGACCAAATCCTTGGGGTAAGGAGGATGCTTTAAAATTGTCAAGAGTCAGTTGTCAAGAAAACTGCAGACCCAGCTTTCAATGTACTTTACTCACAGTTGCACCAGCATTACCTGCAGACCTACAGACTGAATGCACCTTATTTTTCTGTGTGGCACTTAAAAATCTTTTCTCCTGTTGTGATAAAAGGCATAATCATTACTGAACACCCCACTGAATTCATACTGCCTTTTTTTTTTTTTTTGGTTTTTCTCCGGTACCGGGAACCGAACTCACGACCTTGCACTTGCCAGGCAGGCGCTTTTGCCGCTGAGCTAAATCCCCAACCCCCATACTGCCTTTTTAAACTTGGCATTTTTTTCATTTTGGAAAATTATTTCACATTAAAAATTTTGAGAGAAAGAGAGAAAGAGAGAGAGAGAGAGAGAGAGAGAGAGAGAGAGAGAGAGAGCGCCCCACTAATGCGAAAAGAATATCCATTCATTCTCAAAAAGGGCTGGCAACAACTGATTCAGCCCCACTCTCTCCTCTAGGTGAGAACACTGAAGGTCAGAGGGCTGGAGAGAGGAGCGCAAAGTCCAACATACAACCAGAGGTCAAGCTGGGTGAGGACCTGCGTTTATTTCTTCCCCCTGCAGCCCTAACAAGCAACTCTGAGCCAACTCTTTCCTCACCTCAGTTTTAGGACTGTCAACCCTGTGCTCCCGAAGCCTCTCCCGAGAAAGCACAGGGGCAGGAGGGTGGCTGTCACTCACCCTTGGAGCAGGCTGGTGTGCTGCAGAACTCCGAAGTGTACTTTCCTGCCTTAAAGACATAGCACCAGGGCTTTGAGTCCTTGTCTGGGTTTCTGTAAAATCAGCCAAGGAGGTCAGGAAGGTTAAATCTGCAGCTTCCCTCTCGGGCCCCAGGCCTCTGCATACTCACTGAGGGAAACTGTGTGTTGCGGGCTAAGCATGACTTAGTTGTCTTTGTGTGGCTGAAGGAAATGAACATGGGTGCCAAAATGACAAAGGGGGACAAGAGTCGGCCCTGTGTGTCACTGTGGCCAGGCCACATTGACAGGTCAATACCAAATGTTGCTGGGAAGGTTCTTTGCGGCTGTATTGAGCATCTGCAATACCGTAGGATTATCCCTGGTAACATGGGTGGGCCTTCGGAAGTCAGTCCCCAGGCTTAGACAGCCAGACGTTCCCAGCAAACACTGGGAGACTGGGCCTGAGGTGACCTCTCCACACCTGTCTGAAACTCTGGCCTGCTGGCTTCTGCACAGACCTCAGGCACCACCACGGTGGGACCAGCCTCTGCATTTGTCTGTTTGCCGCATTGCTTGTTTCTCTAGAGAACCTTCCTGGTGGGATGCAGGTCTTTTCCCCTCCACCCTCCAGAAGCCAGAAGATGCGGGAGGGTGGCCCTCACCTGCAGTAGTTGTGGTTCCCAAGGCCCAGCTTGATGGCACCCGGCCTCCGTGCGCTGTAGCGCTTCAGGGCCAGCACACTGCTGTTCCAGTTGACACACTCGGCCCCGCTCTGCGCTGTGCTCCACGTGCCCCTGTAGGAGATGCCCTGGTCCTTGTAGCAGGTGACTCTGGTATCTGATGGAGAAAGGGTGCGGGCCTGTGTGTGAGACCCCAGCTACTCCCAGGGCTCTCAAGGGACTTCTGCAGCCTCAGGCAGCACCTGTCTCTGCCCCCTGGGCCACACTGTGGTTCCCTGACTCCCCTTCCAGCAGCCCTTCCTGGTCTCCAGCCTGCCCTGGCCCTTACCACGTGCCTCCTTTCCCACCCAGGCTGATTTGGGGTGTAGGAGTGTCATGCCTTTCACACCCCACCTCTACACTCACCTATTTCACAGCGTTTCCCCATGAACCCTTCAGGGCACTGGCAGACAAAGTCAGAGAAATAAAGGGCCTGCCAGCAAGTACCCCCATTGAAACACCGGGGCTCGCTGCAGCCTGTTGAGTGAAGACAAGGAAACGCTGGTCACTTTCCAAGCTGCTGTGAGGATGGCAAGAACTGACGTTTTTACAGGTGCACTCCATATCCCAGCCGCTGTTCTGCTCAGTTGCACACATGAACTCACAGAAACCTGGAGTCACCCATGACACACACTACCGTCATCCTCCCCAGTTCAAACAGGAGGAAACTGAGACTGGGCAAGGGAAGACCTTGTTCTGAGTGCCCATGTTTGCACCTGTGTGCTGTGCCTGCTCCCCTCACCCACAATAGACCCAGCTGCAGGTCTCCTCAAGAGATTCATTCGAGCTGGACCTGGGAGCCTGGGCTGGCGTGGGCACATACCCTTGACGGGCACTGAGTGGCACTGTGGTCTGCCGCCGTTACACCAGCAGAATTCCACCCTGTTGGCTCTGAGCAGGGGACGCAGCCATGACTCATGCTGCTGGTAAGTCGTCTGGGTCTTCTCATCCCTGCAGGTCACTGAAACATAGACAGTTGGCCTCGTCAGACTCTGACCCCTAGGCCTACTGAGAAAAATCTTTTGCTTGCTTTCAACGTGCAGTCTTCCTTCCGTGTCTGTAGGCTCTGTGTCTATGGATTTAACTAACCTGGGCCTAAGGCAGCCATGTCCACACTGCACACCTATGGGCTTGCCTGTCACTCCCTACAAAGTGTTGCATAACATTTGTATTTACATGGTATTAGAGAATTTCCATTGTATTAGGAGTCTATAAATGATCTGACATGTACAGGAAGAAATTCATAGGTTCTATGGGAATATAGTACTGTGTCATTTCATATAAAGGACTCAAGGGTCTGGGGGACTTGAGGACCCCAGAGGTCCTGGAACTGATCCCCACTGACATGAGGGATGGCTATAGTCTATTATGTGTCCTGTAGGAATGCAACTGGAAGTGAATGAATAGCTAATGTTTTACTACCAAAGACCACTTTTATTGTTCTCCCTCTGGTGAGCCCTTGTTTTAAAAGCATTATTTATCATTCAAAATACATGTATTAAGCAATACTGTAACTTTTCATTTTAATGCATGAAAATATACACATGTATAACTACTTATCAAAGTTATTTATCCACATGAGTATTATTACATAGTAATTTTTGGCCCCAAACAGAGAAAATTGATCTTTTAGTCTGAAAAATGTGTAGAAAATGTGCTGCTTCCTGTAGGATTTTTGATATAATGAAAATAGCTGAAATACTTCCACTAATATTTAATCTTTCTCTGTTTTCAAACTAGAATGCCAATTAAAAAACACATATACACACACACACTTTAACTAAGGCAGGCATGACATACGCTCCCTGGAGACAATGCCCTTGCTTCTGGAGGCCTGCAGAGGCCAGGATACCCTGGCAGGATGCTGCTCTCCATCAGCAAAACCAGTGAGAGCTGGAGTGACTTTGAGGAAATTCCAATTTAAAAGTGTAGAGGTCAGGCTTGGTGGCACAGGCCCGTAATCGCAGCAGTGTGGAAGGCTGAGGCAGGGGGATCGCCAAGTTCAAGCTCAGTGTGGGCAATCTAGTGACTTTGCCAGACCTTGTCTCAAAATAAAAAAGGGACCTGGGGATATGGTTTGGTCTGAAGGCCCTGGGTCCAATCCCCAGTACTGCAGAAAGTGGTGGTGGGGTGGATGTCTTCCAGACCCAGCCAAGTCTGGAGAAGGAGGGGTAGGGCTCTAGGATGCTAGTTCAGGACTTGAAATGGGCCAAGAGCACTTTCAATCAAGACAAGGGCTGTGAATATTTTTGTCCTTGGAATCTGAATGGAAATCGACACTAGCCATGGACCTTAGAAAGGGATTTTTGCCACACTGTATCTGTGACCATAGCCCAGGTGAGTTATCCCCACTTTATCAGTGGGAAGAGACAGAAACAAGCTCACAATGGCTGAGTGGACCTGGCAGCTTCAAGGACCCGTGAGGGCCTAGCAGTAGCCATTGTGGTTCTGGGCCTGGCACCTGCCTGACCTTAGGCAGGTTGCACAGTGTCTTCCACAGGCCTTGTTTTCTGTCCGTGTATCAAGGCCTCTGGGCTGCTGAGCACTAGGCCTCCACCAGCTTCGGGACCCCCAACAGCTGGCTCTTCCTCTCAGGACATGACTGTCTGTCTGCAGCTGCATCTTTGCAGACCCCTCTGAAGATCACCTTCACACGGAGAAGAAGAACCCTTGCTCATCCAGGGAACCTGATGTCTTGGCCCCCATGGCCTGTCCTGGCCTCCAGTTTCCATCCCCTCACCACCGCTTCCTCTCACCTCTGTAGGACCTGGCTCCTCTTCTGAAGCGGACATGGTTTTTCTGCAGAGAGAGAGGGAAGAGGGGACCAGTCACACCAGCAGAAGACTCCTATGACCTGCTGGACAGATGCCCCTGGGGTCCTGGCCCAGAGCACCAGCTGTTTCCTGCCTCATCTCTAACCCTTCCTCTCCTCCTAGCCCAGCATTGTCCAGAAAACATTTTGTGAGATGGAAATTCTTCCCATCTGTGCTCCCAGTAGAGTAGCCACTAATCCCATATGGCCAAGGAGGGGTTAACATGCAGCTAGTGTGACTGACTTTTCAATTTTGTTTCATTTTAGTTAATTTAGATTCAAATGGCTGCACATGCTTGCAGGCCACCATCCTGGACAGTGCCATTGTGGCTCCCTGGGTCCTTGCTTCAGCCTCACAGGAGATGTTCTGTTGCCCACCTGGCACTATAGGAAAGTGCACGAACCTTCTGGCTAGCAGCAGGGGGCAGGTTTCTGGCTCATACACCTCAAGGTGCTTATGGCATCTTTTATAAGTGCTTTTGTGGGTTAATCCAAACACTTTCTTTAAAAAAAAAAACCAAAAATTGCAAAGAAAGCAGAGGCAGGGGAGTGGGAGTAAGAACTATTGCTCAAGTCAGAATAAGCATCCAGGTTCCAGCGCTGGGACTTGAATCCCAGCCCTCCCATCCAGAGGGGATGTGTTTGCACATGCTCTGGCTAAGCAGGCTCTGTGCCCCTTCTCATGTCCCCTCTTGGACACCTTCCCACCACTAGGGTGCTAAAAGGACAGGTTCATTGTCACACTGGGCCGTCTCGGGCGGGGTCCACAGATACACAAGGACGCGCACCTGGCTGGGCAGGGTGGAGACAGCCCCACAAAGCAGCAACACACACAAGAGCGTTTGCCTCATCCTCCTTGCGGTTTCCTCAGCCTCCCTTTGGTTCTTCTAGAAGAGGAAAAAGAGTGTAAGTGTGAGGAACAGGAGCAGAGGGTATAGCAAAACTCAAGGGTTGTGACTTTTCATGGCTGGACCCTCCACCCAAGGGTTTGGAAGGTGATTTTAAAAAACTGCACATGTATTTCTGTTGTAATAAAACACATAGCACACATGTACCACCTTAATCCCTGTTAAGTACGCAGGGCAGTGGTGTTGAGGACACACACCATGCAGCTGTCACCACCAGCCACCTCCAGAACTTTAATCACGAGCCAAATCTCTGCAGCCACTAAAGAACAGCTTTCCTCTGCAGCTGTAACCACCTTTCTTCTGCAGTCTCTATCACTCAGACAACTTGCGCTTGGAACAAAAGTGGGCTCCTACGGTGTTTGCACATTGGGCCTGGTGACTCCACAGAGCACCAGGCCCTGAGGAGCCCCAGGTTGCAGCGGTCAGAGTCCCCATGTCGTAGTGGTCAGAGTTCCCATGTTGTAGCTGTCAGAGTCCCCACGTTGTAGTGGTCAGAGTCCCCACGTTGTAGTGGTCAGAGTCCCCCCTCCTCAGTATAGCTGAAAGGTATCTGCTGTCTGGGTAGATCTCACCTTGCTCGTCCACTCTTCTGATGGTGCTTTGGTTGTGGACAAGCATTTTGCCTAGGATGTCTGTGAACTGAAGGGCAACACCATCTCTGGCATATTTTTTGGCAGCCCAGGGACACAGGCTTGGTTTCCTGGAAGGGAATTCCTGCCTTGGGGCTGGCTAGGTGCAACCACAGACATCCTTCCTTTTCAGAGGACACTGTAGGGATTGCATAGCCACAAGTCCAACACCAGCCACCCTTCTGCAGCCTGCTCATCTCGGCATCCCTCGCAGACAGGGTTGCTTCCTCATTGCTGCCTTATCCCACAAATAGTTGGTCCCTCTATGACAGAGTCCTTCCCACCTACCCATCAGAATATCTGTCCTATTTTATAAACTGTGACAGAGCCAGCAAAATCCCGATTTGCCAAAATAGAAGCAGTATCTGGTTTTGGTCAAAGATTCAGATCTTCCTCGGCCCCAAATTCCTGGTTTCCTGCCACCTTGCCCTCGGCGCTGAAAGTAGGTTAGTTGGACAGGTGTTGGGCTATGGCCTGGCCTCTCACTCTCATCCTTTCCTCCCTTGACTCATTTCCCTTCAGTCACAAGTGGTTCCCACCCTTCCCCCAGCCTCAGGCCCCAAGCAGCTGCCTTCCTTTGTCTGTGAAGTGCTCCCTTTGAAAGGCCACCCGCTGCTCACAGGGCTGCAGCTCCCTTCAGGGCCAGGATGCAAACAGCAAGAGATGGATGAAGTGGGAGAGATTTCTATCTGGCTGGTTCTTCTTGGGCTGCTGGTGACTGGCCCCGGGGAGGGAGAGTCCGGCAGGGGGTTGAGCAGTAGCAGGGGACACGCCCCCTGCCCCCTCTCCTGCCCTCCCCCTGGCCAGGGTATTGGGGGCGCTTCTGGCCTGTGCTTTCCCTACCCTGCTTTCCTTTCCCGTAGCCAGGGCCTCCCTCTGGGCAGAGGCATGGGCACTCTGGCGCCTCCTCTCACTTGGGACAGCTGTGCCACCAACTCTCCAGCTTTGGGGTTCCAGAAGAAAGGAAGTGGGCAGCTGAGGCCATCTAGAATAGAAGCCTGTCCAGTGGCATCTCCTGATTACAGGGAATTTTTCAGATTTTCTTTCTCAGCTTCCCTCAAATTTCTCCTTTCCCCAGATTTCCCAAAATTCTGCTTAAATTCCCCTTTTAAATTTTACTCCCTATTTATAGCCCTTTAAAACAGATTTTCTCAAACTTATTCTCCGTTTTCTTCCCCATGGCTCTGCTTGTAGCCAGTCCTAGGTCAGCCTGGAGTGGAGGACTCTGTACATCTGGGGCCTCAGGAGTAAGTGAGTTGCATTCATTACGCAATGAGTAAATGAACCAATGACGGACAGTGAACTCCTCTTTCCCACCTCACCTGTCAAACCACCCAGCCCTTTCAGTCCCCCACTCACTACCCCACATGCCACAGTGAATTTTTTTCTGAATACCAAGTTACTGTTTCACTCTGAGAATCTGGGTCCACCTGCATGGACCACGAACTTAGATGCCCGGCAGCTGCAGGGTGAAGTCTCGCCACATTTGCGTCCCTGCCCTCCCCAGGATTGACTCTTCCTGGCAAGTAGGGGAGGGATGCAGGACAGGCTGGGGTGCAGATCCACAGGTATGCCATGTTCAGCCCTATTGCAACCAGAGAACCATGGAGAGGACTCAAATTGTCCCCTTGCGCTCTTGGGAGAGCTGGAGACCCTGTCCTTACCTCCCATGGCCTTTGACCTCCTGGGCCTTGAGCCCAGCAGCAAAAGCTTCCCCCACATACACGGCTGGAGGGGCACTGGGCTTGACAAAGAAATGAGTCATCCTGTCCCAGAAAAACTGCACAGCCCAAAACAAGGAAGAAGTGTGGGGAGGAAAGTGTGTCTTTGTTTGGTCTTTGCTGGAGGCGTGGGCGTGGAGGATAGGGCCTGAATGCAGAACAAAGTGAATACCAGAACTGAGACTCAGACCCAGATTCCCACAGGCCAGGCCAGACTCACTCCCTAAACCCAGCGGGAAGTCACGGCCTCTGGTTGCCAGCATGGAGGGCTTGCTCGGGTTTAATTGTAAGAAGCCTTTCAGAGCTCACTTCATAAATGCGGACATGAAATTTTCTCCTCCTATGTTCTCTTCCTTTTGCTGTACCTATAGTTTCCCAGTATTATTAAGGAATAGAAAAGCAAGAAAGGATGGTAGGTAAGAAGAAAAGAAGGAGTGAGGGAGGGAAGGAAGGAAGAAGGGAAGGGAGGCCGAGAGGCCAACTGGGAGAAGGACTGACTGCTGCACTGGAACTCCTGAGTATAGTATGAAAAGAGGGATGTAGTGTAGGGCTTTTGGTCTCCAAGTACCCAAAGCCCAGCCCTGGCTGGCCTATCTTAGCACACAAAGTTGATTTTTTACAGCTTTTCAAGAGGCACTATCTCTGGTGAGTAAAGTTCAGCAGACTTAGGGCTTGGCAAGTTGACAAATTCCATAAATTAAAAAAACACAAAGCACATGGCTTGGCAAATAAAGCACACCCTAGATCACAAACGTGATCTAGGCATCTTTGTACAGTGCCTAGCCTGCACATCCACACTCAGGCAGCCTTGTCTGTGCCGGCGTGCATGTTTGTCTCACAAGGCAACTTGGGCTTTCCTGCCTGGGAGTTGTGTACAGTCCTGTCAGATACATCAACAGTGACTGTTTATTGTTTTCTCTGAATAACCTTCAAAAAATGACTGCTCTAGAGTAAGGAGAAAGTCGTATAAAGAAGGGCAAGCAACTTTGGTATAAGCAGCCCTCCCGTGAGATGTACTCTTTCCAGGGCGAAGGACACCTGCCCTTTTGGGTACTATACAAGGATGTCTGCACATACACTCTTGCGATCTAGGGTGTGCTTTATTTGCTAAGCCATGTGCTTTGTGTTGTTTTTTTTTTTTAATTTATGGAATCTGTCAACTTGCCAGGCCCTAAGTCTGCTGATGATTGAACCAGCCAGAACACAGTATTCATTCCTGCAGGGTGCCCTGGGCAAGGGCCACTGATGGCACAGGCAGTGACTGATCTGGGTGGTGATACATGACTTGAGGAAGGTCCCGGAGGGAAGAGACGCCACATGGGCCTCAGCCCCTTGGTATTGCCTGCCTCCCCTCTTCTCTGTCTTCCCTCCTAAATATCTGCTCTCAAGAAAGGAATTGATAAACTCATCTAGCGAGATGAGTGGCCTAAGATGCCATGGAAGCTCCAGTGCTTGGAGACAAGGTCAGCCCCAGTGATGCAGATGCCAGGGGCTCGGGGCTGTGGGGGCTGGGACCTGCGAGGACAGGGATCTGGGGCTGCAATGTCAGAAGAAAGGTGATGAGGAATGTGCGCATGTGTCCCAGTGGGGACCTTGGATAAATGGTTACAACCACTTCAGAAGCATTTACCCACATGCTGTGTTCTCTCCCTCTGCCTCTCTCTCTCCCTCTCTTCACCCCTCCCCTATTGTTTTGTGGTACTAGAGATTGAACCCAGGGCCTTTGCACTGAGCTGTATTCGCAGCACTTTTTTTATTTCTCCAGAAGTTGACCAGGCTGGACTTGAACATGTGACACTCCTGATTTGCGGGAAAGCAACTGTACAGATGCAGTCATCAGTCAATCCAGTTTTACGATTCTGGGCAACACAAGCTTGCCAGCAGGATGGCAGAAACATGAGCAGCCTGAAAGAGGATGGAAATGGCCAAGGAAGGACCAAAGTGAACTGGGACTGCTCTCAAATTATGCATCATGTGCAAGGTTCGCTGAGTCTGTCTGTGGTAAAGAAGAGCCTTAGGTTACTACTGCTTTGCAAAACCTTTCTGAAGCTCTGACTAAGAGTCAGTCTCCAAGTGGCCAACTGGCTGGAAACAACACACTCCCATCCTCCAATACCAGCAACCGCAGACCGATGAATGTCAACAAGCTAGGAAAAAACCAGCAAGAGCAAAGACACATTTCTAGAACAGGACAAGAGGTGAGGCAGAGCCAGGCCTGGTGGTTCACACCTGTAATCACAGTGCTCTGGGAGACTGAAGCAGGAAGTCTGCAGGTTCAAGCCCAACCTGGGCTACTTAAGGATTTAGCAAGACCCCATCTTAAAATAAAAATGGAAGGAGCAAGAAAGGAAGGGAGAAAGGAAGGAGGGAGAGACGGAGAAAGAGAGGGAGGAGCGAAGGAAGGGAGGGGAGGTTCTGGAGTGAGCAAAGCCTTGGAAGAGTCTAGAAGTCTCCCTCACAGCTTACCTTGGTTAAAGCAGAGTCTGCCCTCCAGCTGGGTCGCGTGGGCAGCTGCTGCTGATCATGGGAGCCACAAGCTCTGAGTCCTGACTGCCACCGCCTAAGCAATTCTTAACTCTTTACAAAGTGATCCTCCACTAGCCAAATTGCTTATCTTCTCTCTTGAACA